TTACTGCACAATTATGCACATGAAACAGTGAAGCACAGTTGTTAGGCAGCACAAAAGTGCAATCTGATATTTCTGTGAGGGACAGTTGGTGCAGTGCACAACACAACACAGCTGTGCTTCTTTGAGGTGTTCACCAAATGACCCAAAGAGTGACTTCAGCATAGGAGGGTTTTAATAAAGTGCCTCTCTATGTGTAGACATCACTTAAAATCAATGTGTCACACATAAGCCCAAGGGCCATTTTGGCAGAGCCAGTCACACATGTAATAATTCACTCTTGCCCCTTTCTTCCATCATCAGATGTCAACTTGGCCTTTCGTCAAGCTGCTCACAAAGTTCTCCTTGAAGACGACACATCCCTGGGCCAAGTGCGACTGACCGCAACTTCTAAGACTCCGATAAAGGGTGCCAGCAAAAGTAAGATCCCGCGTAGACTAAGTATCATCCCTTGTTTGGTTATGATGAGCAGTATGCTGGTCACGGTTGCATTTTTCCATTGTGTACATATTAGGCTCTTTTTATTGATCTAAGTTACAATTTCCCAGGCTGACAGACGAAACTAACAGTACTCTGATAAGATAATACAAAGTGGCCTCCACATAGAGATGCACCACCTTGATGGGACTCAAAGTTTCCAGTCTTAACATGGAATAATGAAATTCAATTCTTGTTTTTGCTCTTTGTACATATTTAATCACGCATAGATTTGTAGTTTATCAAATCCAATGATATCTGATCTCACTGTATGTCCTTCATTTTTATCATGTTTTCATTTATTGTCACTGCACAGAGTCGGAGGCCGCCCCTCAGTCTAAGAGCAGTGGAGACATTGGTTGGAACTGCTTGGGCATGACGTACAATGTACAATGGCCACTACACACACTCTTCAATGCTGCGGCTTTGGAGAAGTGAGTGTTCAACCCCCCCCCAAAAAAAATTTTTTACAGGGCTGAGATATGTCGAGATTTTTCCTGATCTCAGGATTTTTCATCAGGATTTTCCTGACTTTGGCATTAATCTGAGTTTACCATTCCATTTGTTCCATAATCTACAACAGTTGATACAGAACACAAGACAGGGTATTTTAAAGGGTGCCTATAGGCAAAAACAAAGGTACATGTATACCGTAGACTTCAGCCTGTCTCAGGAGCCCTCAAAACGCCTGGAGCCAAGTTCATAGTGCTGCTTAAGCGAAACATTTGTTTAAGCATGAAAAAACTTTGCTTGACAAATCAGGTTACCAGCCAAACGTTCTTGTGGTGTTGTTTTGGAATGGTATTTACCTGTTTTTTTGGTTAGCATGACAATCACATGGAGTTTGAGCTGGTAACCTTTGTTTAGTAAGCAAGGTTTTATGTGCTTAAGCATATTCTGTGTTTAAGCAGCTCTATGAAATTGGCCCCAGCTGGTGATTATTTCATGGATTTTTCAATTTCCTCCGATTCCACCCCTGACAAAAGCGACTTGTTCACCTGTTCACAACTTAGCCCGTTTGATAATACTGCATTACTTGTATTCAGTGACCATCAGTAGCTCCTCACTATGAAAGACCTGCCTCTTGCACTGTCAAATCTTCAGCTTTTGCTCTGGACCTTCAGATATAACACCCTGTTCCGTTTCCTGTTGAGCATCAAGCGCGTCCAGCTGGAACTGCAGCAGTGCTGGGCTCTCCAGATGCAGCGGAAGCATGCCCCCGCAGAGCAGTCGGATGCCAGCAAGTGGCGGCTGCGATCGCACATGGCCTTCCTGGTGGATAATCTACAGTACTACTTGCAGGTGGGTTAATGCAAAGCCGCAGTCCAATTAGTTTGCAGGTATTGATTTCAAAGAGTTTTATTAGCTTATGGGAAAAGATGGTGTCTTGGGCTTGTGGCTTCAGCACAGTGGGTGGCCATTTGAAACTTTTTGCTGGTTTTGTCGAGTTCACACAGAATCATGCAATCTTGATCTTTGTTTGAATATCTTGCTTCAAAGTGTCCCGTTGGGTGCTCTTTTATTCCGTCCTTCGTACACATTCTTTTCTGTCGTCATTTTTCTTTTGCCACATGTGCTGTAATTGTACAAAGGATGATATTCATGCTGACTTCAACAATTTTCACCATGCCTTTGAGTGTATGTATGCTCGAGCCTTGTCTTGTTAAGCACTTGGTTATTACAACTTTCTTCACCCTTTGTTGAATTCATCACAAGTCCAGTCATAAGACCAGTCAGGATGAACAATGGCAAAGAATTACTTTTATCACAGTTGATTTGAGTAGTTTCTGACTTGGCTTGAGGCTGGATGATTTTTGATGGACTTGTGATGGACTTAGAGAGACTCTTGATAAGCTCAACTACAGCTCTGGCTTGCCTGTCCACTGATTTCAGGTGGACGTTCTGGAGACTCAGTTCACCCAACTGATTGACAAGATTAGCAGCACCAGGGACTTTGAGGCAGTACGGCTGGCCCACGACCAGTTCTTAACCTCTCTCCTGGGCCAGTGTTTTCTGCTCATGAAACCAGTGAGTCTCTGTGGTTGGTGAGAAATAAGCCCTGCTTTCCAGGCATTTGGCACAAAACACAGTCAAGGGGACCAGCAAGTTACTGTCGTGTTGGAAATGTTTCCCCAATGATTTTGCATTTTTGTCAGATCTTGAGCACTCCTTAACCCGTTCTTCATTTGTGTCTCAGTGTGGAGGCTAAAACTGAATTGAGGCCAGAGAGTGAATTCTGTTTTGAAATTTCATTCATTTATTTTATCTGTTCATCCAACAGCGCATTTAGCCCCAATTACAGGATGATAAATGAGTGAAGAAGACCATGAAGAAATGTTCAGTTTTAGAGGTTGAAGGAAAACCCTGAAAAATTATTTGAGGAAAACCCACAGACTCAAGTAGGGACTGAAAACCCAATCCACATGTAGACCTAGCCAGATTTGAACCCAGGCCACCAGAGGTGGACGGCGCTAGGAAAGAACCACTACGCCAACCTGACTCCCCTGTTTCTCTTTTGAAATAAAAATCTGTGTTGACTTAAAATGTCAAACTTGACAGGTAAATGTTGTTCCGTCCCTCTTCGACTGCAAAAAGGGCATCACAAAGTGTTTTACTGTTTCATTCAGACTTAAGCCTGCATGACTAAATTCACAAATATAAAATGCTTTTGGGTGTTGAAACCCTTCCAGAAATTTATAATTGCAGGGAAAACACTGCTAACCTGACTTGCGCCCTCTACTGTGCTTTGTGTCATTTGCCTATGAATGTGAGGTGCTGTGGGAATTTTTCTCCAACACAGGCTGTTGGGAAAGTTGGGAAATCAGGCCTAGTGATGCTGTTATAAGAACAAGAACTGTTAATGGTATAGAGAGTATTAATGTGTAGTTATCTGCTCGGAGTGGAGGCGCACCCTCATTGGCAAAATTGAGACAGGCTGGTGCAAGGGTTTCAAGCCTGGCTTGTGCACATTGCATACACGAAGACTGTATATTCAATTTATTGGAAATGGTTCAACTGTGCTCGATGCGTCCCCCACCGAACACGCATGAATGGAAGTGTGCGCACACAGCGAGTTCCCTCCACAGGACTGGCGCTGCTATGTAAAAACGTGCCTTTTGGTTTCTGCTCGGAGCGGATTGTGGGACTTGCTGAGCTCTGTAAGAAAAATGGAAACCATGATTTTTGTTGGCGCAGAGACTTTATGCTGTATCTCTTCCTGGTTCCTCCCTTGCATTAGGTGAGCCACTGTCTGAATGAAATCATGGAGCTGTGTCACTCATTCGCTGTCTTACTGATTACACACGCAGCCAGCATGACGGACAGAGAAGTGACCCACATGGACAAACTATCACAGGTATGTACGATGACATCAGAATCTCTTGCCTAGAGCCGGGTTTTGGTCTCTGGACATGGAAGTTTTGCATGGTAGCCATCTTGCAGGGCAGTTTGTTTGTTCTACCAGGAAACCTCACTCTGTCCTGTAAGATGGCCGACACGCAAAGCGTGTATTGGTAATTTGCCTGGAATATGATCTTGACATAAATAGATTGTCTTTCTGTTTTGGGACCTGTTGGTTTTCATTTATTTGACCAGAATTAAACACAGGAAGAAATGTCAGTGCTGAAGAGGTGTGAACTCTTTTTTTCTGCTGCCAAAATTTGGTGTTGGCTATGCTGAAACTTCTGAAGTATTTTAACCGTTGATGCTGTTTATTAATGAACATACATGAACAAAGATATCAACTGGAGTGGGATTTGATCCCGTGACCTCCAGCACATACTGTAGTACCAGCCCTTTACCAAGAACATGGCGCGCTGTTGTTGACTGAATTCGAAAAGAAAAAGAACATGGGGAAATGCTCCTGGCAATGACGGTATCTCATTTCTTTGACAGGGCTTTAGCCGGCAGTCCTCGCTCCTGTTCAAAATCCTATCCAGTGTGCGCAGCCACCATCAGGCAAGCCCCCACCTCAGCCAGCTGTTACTCAGACTGGACTTCAACAAGTACTACAGCCAGGCAGAGGGAGCTCTGGCACCTTGACGGACCCACACTAGGCCAACTGCGGCAGAGACCAGAGGAGGTTTGTATATAATGCACAGTGAAGTGGTGATGTATCCCAGGGTATGACCAGTGTGAGATGAGGGGATGAAGAGAATTCTACGCAACGTCCAGTGGAGGCGAAGCAGTGACCAAACTGCTGGGACTTATTGTTCGTAGCTCACAAGGCAGGAGTTTCTTCCGCAGTGGCTTTATGTTAGCCCCAGGTTGGGTGTTAGTACAGTAGGCAAAAGACTTCATGATGAATCCTTTAGAAAAAAAAATTGTGGTCAAAACCCTGAAATTTGGTTAAATCCTGAGGAATCACATCCCATGGATACTTACCCCTAGGGCTGGATACTACAAGTCCTTGAAGTGACTTCATTAAAAGTACGCCGTTAGATTTAAGCTACCTTCTCACATATAGTGCACTTAATAGTGTCTGCATGCGTAAGCTTGCAATTTGCAAACATCCACCGTGACTGTCCAAGAATATCAGGATCCACATGAGACCTTAACCCTAACCCTCCTCAATCCTTCACCTGTTGGAGGACTGAGGAGTGTTAAGATGAGAATGGAAAGGCCAATTTAAACTGCTAGGGAGTTGCAACACTGTGCATGCATACCTGGCTGTTGTGCATCGACTCGCCCAACAGGAAGATAATGAGCAGAAATTTACATCCAAAGGAATGGCTGGAATACAGGAAGAGATGGAATGCATTAACAGTTCAAGGATTTGGGGCTTTTCAAGCAGTTTTATTACCATTAAAATAAGCTTTGATTTCCAATCTATCTAAAGCATCTTTCACACAACAGTCATTTAGACAGCTCCCATTTTTGAAGAATGCACTGAACCAGACATTTTAAAAATGCCGCCTTCGATTCCTACTGCAAGATAACTAGTGTGGTTAGGGTTCATTCATCACCTAAGGAAAGCATCTACATGTACTTGCTTGCACGCTAATGTTCATCAGTTCCCACGTGCAGTGGTTCAGTATTCCATGCTAAAAAAAATTAGGAGTTGAAGAAGGCAGATCTTGGAACTGCATAAATTAATGCTTCTGGTTGCTTCAGTGCACCTGCCTCTAACCTTGTTGCTCGTGTACACATCAGTAGTGTTCATGCCACTTTGTGTGAAGTTTGCCGTTTTTTATGCGCCACAATATCTCTGAAAAAATATCCAAATGCCATTTGTGCGCCCAGACACTACCAACACAATTGAGCCTAATTCAGCACTTCAGTTTATAATGTGATACTTTTACTTAGCTGAGTTTTACATGTATTCCCAAGCTTATAATGGGAACAGAAAGTTCCAAATCCTGAATATATTAAGGGAAAGAGTAACCTCTTTGAATGCCCAGAGTGTTATTGAGATTTTGGAATGCCTGTACAGTGTACATCCCCAAAGTATAACATGATCTACTTGGAAGACCATTTTCAGATCAGACACAAGTGCATGTAAAATGGCACGAAGTATAATGTGTAAAGTGGATGGGGAGAAATTCATGCAAAACCAAATCACTTGCACACTATACATCACCTATGCAACTTACCTATGCAAAAGAATCACTTGTGGTCAAACTGTGTTTTTGAGTTCACAGATGTACCTATGAATGGTGAATGTTTTCTTGGTAGAACAAAGGACCTTATTTATACTTTTGCAAAGCTTGTTCAATCTTGTTAATTACAACTACTAATTACAACTACTTACGGCTAATTTGAATTAATATGGGATAATGAAAATTTCATTTTCATTGTAGTCAACTAGACTAAAGACAGTGAAACAACAACCTCAAATGAAAAATGTCTAAAATTCTATCATTTCAATAACTACTGTTTGAGTTTCAAATAGTTGATAGACTGTGTCTGTTGGATATCCATTTGAGTTTTCAGGTGTTGTTTGTGGACGTCTGGCAGTTTTTGGCCTTGAGGCACTGCTGTGACAGTGAGTACATACATGTACAAGCAATTATTATAAATGACTTGACCCCACGATCACCAACTTCAATCCATAGTGAATATGGCCGTTTGTTTCTTGTGTGTTATCTTTACTCCAAACGAAAAATCTACATATCTCTTGGTGTAAATGCATTTGCACCGTCACCGAGAAGACTCATGGAAATGTACAAACGATATACAACACAAACAATGCAGTTGCAATGGGTTTTGGTTTCCTGAAATAAAAGATGCCTAAAAATTAGCATTATCTAAGGTCAGGCGTTGAAAAACCAATGCTAACTGCTTTCATATTCAGTACAGTAACTTTCTGTACTGAGCATTTCCCCAACGAAAAACTGACGGAAGATTTAAGTTTTGTTACTGCATATTTTAAAGTAGCAGTCAAAACATTTAATGGTAATACCTCACACACACAAGGTTAATCTTAAATCAGTGTTAATAAGCATAACTAAAGTAGAGCCTGCTTACATACTGGGTAAAGCTGCTGAAGTAACACGCATTAAAAACATTATAGCTAAATAGATCTTCACAAAGGCAGCATGTAATTAGGTTCTGGCTTACAAAGTGGTAGCAAGTATAAGATCTCTATCACAGGACGCCATCCCCGTAGGAAACTTACAACTGTGTTTACAGTACCAACAGGTGCGTCTTCGCTGTGCAAAATGGTCTATACACGCATGCGTGTTGGTCCAAGTATCTCTGAAATAGAGCATAGTCTGAAATGCCAACACACATCTGTAGGAAGTGACGTCATTTGTGAGAGACCTGTAGTGTGTGGTTGGATGCTCATAAATCGGCTGAAACTATCTCCCCTTTGAAAACCAAGGAACCATCATCAAGTTCTATTTGAACAACATGTGCAACTGTTAAAGGCTGGATCAAACTTTATGTCCGTGTGAATACAGAGCTGATAGGTCTCTCTCAAATGTTGTCAATTCCTACAGATTGCCTCATGTATCGGCATTTTTTACTTCAATTTTCATGAGCTGCACCTTATTTCGAAAGTCTTTGGAACAGCATGAGCACAAGTTTAGAACATTTTGCACACCGCGCATACACACCCATACCTGTTTTACATACAAAGTGTGGACATTCCTTTGTTCTCCTGTGATTAAGGAAACTTGAGGAAAATGTTCCTTTTTCTCCAACTAGGATAACACCTTTAAGCTGGATTTTTGATGATTTTCTGGACTGTTCCTCTTCATTTTGCCACAGATCATAATCTTGACCCCCAAAAGGCCTCTGAAACTGTTTTTCAGAGAGGGGAAAACATTGTGCGGACGTGTGCGAGTCCACACAACGCCATCATACCCTACATTATGTGGACTTCAAATTTGTTCACACTACATGTATGTATGCCACACCTGCACACACCTGTTGGCGTTGTACACAGTTGCAATATTCCCACAAAGATGCCTTCCAGTGTTAAGAGAGATCCACTTAACACTGCAGAACATTTGCAGTGAAATCTGCAAGAGAGCAATATTTGTTCCAAGTTTTACGAACCGGCAGTGTGGCTGAGAAATCAGCAGTGTGCAGCGTCGCTGATCACAAACCCACCCTTTCTGATACATACTGTCACATTCTCTTGACCTATCTTATTACATCAATCTTGCAAAGCCACGATGTGGAATGATACTGTTGAATAGAGGATGAAGCTGAACAACTTGTTTGTTGCATGCAACTACACCTGTTGTATCTTGTCGTGACTGGTCACTGTTCTCACCCACGTGAGCCGATGGCTTCGCTGTAATTACATGTAAATTACAGGTTTGGACCCAGCTGTGTACATGTACAAGGATAATGCTAAAACCCTCTAGGCACACTTTAGGCACATGGAATGATTCAGTCAACAACTAGACATAGGAGCACACAATACAGGGCCGTAAGTGGTAGACAAGTACATGTACATAGCCAGTGTTGTGGTCAAGTCCATCACAGGACCAGTCACAAGTAACTGGGTGGACAATGAGAAAGGAATGCTTAAGACTGGATGACTTGTGGTAGACATGCCAGAATGCTAATTCATATAACAGGTTTTGCCCTTACCCAACATATATACATGTAATGATAAACACTGTATGCTCAGTGCTTGTCCCAGAGCTTGCGAAAAAATTCCCACCCGAGTAAGCTTGTGAATTTTTTCGCAAGCTCTCGGACAAGCACTGAGCGTACAGTGTTTATCAATATATATGTTGGGTAGGGCAAAACCCGTTGTATAAATTAACATCTCCCCAACGCAAAAAATACATCTTGAAAATGCCAGAATGTGTGATGGGACTTTACTACAACACTGTGCAAAGCTTGCTATGGCTAGGGGGCTACCTGGTCGTGGAGTGACAGCAACTAACCCAGTCAGAGAGATAGAGGAGCTGTGGCTGATGCAGCAAACAAGTTGCCAGCCCTGACCAATGGTCAAAGCTCCGGCCGCTCACGCAAGAAAAAATACTACAGAGGAAACTGGCAACTGAAATATTACAAGGTACGAAATAGGACAGAGAGGTACCCCCCAAAGAAGTCCAATCCCTATACACACTCCAGCTTATTGTTACTTAATACCCCCCCCCAGATATCTAAAAAGAATTCTTGAGATACCAGTGTAACAATGACCAACACAAAGGCGGCAGGGGGGATTCTCTCTGTCCCATAGTTTGCATCAAATGAACTGATATGCGCAATTACTGCAACTGCTCCACACCTAGCAATAGGTGTTGTTACTTGACAAACATTTACAGTTTAAGAACAGGTGTGAGTTACGCATGACTGCAGACCCTCAAGAGCAGATCCAGAACCTGAAGGGGGGGGGCCAAAGGGGCCCACAGTTGCCCTTCTCTAATTATTACAACAACACTGCCCTTTGGATGGGGCAAGGCCCCCTGACCGTATCTGACCTTGACTCTATTCGGACTTGGCTATTCAGGTCTTGTACATCTGACGAGACAAAATCGAGAGCAAAAGTTATTACATGTACCTTTTGGTAATCCTACATGCAGGCTATCACTGCATGCATGCCTCAGACTGAGTAAACCATTAATTTCTCATCTTTAAAATTAAAATGCAAAGATATGTACTGAGTATAAATTGGTTTTGCACACACAGGTAAACACATGTACCATGTGAACGGGGACTACACATGCGCTGAAAGATAGACGTTGTGGCGGCCAAAAACATTACGGCTAAAAATTCCCCATAACCATGATAACTCACTCTCAACTTTCCTAACAAAAGAAATTGCCCCTTCACACCAGGAGTGCCTACCAGTGCACTGTATGAGTATGTACAAAGGTGGGTGCTTGTACATGGAATAAAAATCTCACTTTTTGCCAAAATTCAACACCGTAACCCTACACAATTGTTTCTGTAGCTACATGTATATATGTATATTAAAAATACCACAATATTGATATGATTAAATTGTTATTAAAGGCACACTGTGGTTTCCATCTTATTTACAAATACTGATATAGTACACATACATATATACCAGGAATAATTCCATGCTGTGTGTCACTTTAGAACAGAGAAGCAAATATTTCAATGTCCAGCTACACTGGTCAAATTGTGTTTTTGAACTGTGTGCTTTGGAGGTACCAGTGACGTGATTAACAGTGTTTTTATAATGGATTTTGATGATACATGAACTACAGTTGCTGATTGGCTGCTGTTTCCAATCAATCATAAATTTTATTCCTAGACATGTGCATGTGTACATGTAGACATTGACTCGATACTGTATTTTGAAAACGAGAGCCAAACAACTTAAGCAGCATTTTTATTCTTGGTTACCCAGAATTAGTCAGGTTTGACTTCATTTGTTTAGGAAGCATTCTTGCTGTTGGCCAGTATAGTAGAATTCCATCTGCAGTGAGAGCACTGCAGATGACCGAAGGACAATGTCACACAGTTGCAAAGCTCTAGACCTTGCTCAGCAAAGAAAATATTTGCTAAGCAAAAATGTATTACCGGCCGAAAAGTCAGGCACGTACATGTAGGTACCTTCATACTGCCTGTGACTGGTGCTCTGCTCATGTTTGCTTAGCGCATAAATTTACTCGGCAAGATTTCCTGCTAAGCAGCTGCATATCATTTGGTCCCTGAGAAGCGTGATGTCATATCTTGGATCTCTAAAGTTCTAGAAATGTGTGTACAGTACACCTTAATTGAAAGTTAACACTGAATTGAAATGGGAAAACTTTCCTTTCACTTTCCAACTTGTGCAAAAAGCTGTGAGAATGTTTTCCAACTTCCCTAGGAAGAGAAAAAAAGGGGGAAAGAATTTGCCATCCCCAGATTAACTTTCAATTCCAAAGTACTGTAAATCACACACTGTCATTTCTACACTACTCAGATGGAGGTCAGAGTGCCATTTGTCTTTTCACGTACAGGTGTAATTGGTAAAAACTTAATCCAACAACAAAAATAAAAAAAAGTATGCATCTTTCGAAATCGCTGAAAAATACACGGCCTTACATACATGTACAAACTAAGTAATGGACAAGCAGTTTGATAACCTGAGCAGTGGTGACTGAGAATGGGTAGAAGGGTACCAGCATAAGATGAGGTGACCAGGCTACCACAAAGTCATTAGGTATCTACCCTGCTAGTGAAGACTCAACACGTTACTCCCCAACAACCTACACATTTTTATCAAAACCATCTATATTATAGTTTTTGCACCATTTCTCTCAATACATACTTGCACAAGAACTTTCAGACTGGACTATCCCCAACAAAAAAGGCCCCCCCAAAAAAGAAAAACACGCCTGATAACACGCTGAGGATAACATCTTTTACAAGCAATGCTGCACAAACAAGGTCACATTTTTGCTGTTGTTGGTGTACGTTGGTTTCCCCTACGAACCTTCAGGCTCCAAGAGGGAAAGCTGCTGTGCAAGTGTGAGCAAGTTATGTCCAACATGGGCTTCCAGAGCATAGCTACATGTACCGGTGTATCTATTGTCACCAAGTGCAGAGACACATTTGCAATGTACGAAAGACCTTGCCTTAGGCACACGATTCGGATGGCCACTTGGTTATGAAACCATCTGGTTCAGCTTGTACATAAAATGAATGTATGTGTTCGGTGCTACCTTACCTGTACATTTCTCCACCTACACATCGGTAAAAACCTCTGAAACCTTTGGCATTTGCAGCAGGATTGCATGCACAGCCTGTGAAGGGAGTAACTACAAGTTTACCAGCCTTTTTAGGAAGACGTGAAAAATGGTTACCATTGACCAAAATAATCTGCACGACTTTACGGTTTAACCATTCAATAAAGAATGGTTGATTCCATTTATACTTTCATCAACTCACGAAAACAGTTAATGAAAACCTGAATGCAGGAAAGAATTTTTACAACACAGCAGTGGATGGATTTTTGTGTACCGCATCTCCACAGTACAGAGTTCTCTGGGTTTCTCTTTCCTGACGGACTGTGGCTAACTAATCTTTGTGAGCAAAATATGAATCTATTCTGTACAACCGGAGCTGTACAATTCCAACAAATTAAACCAATAAATATGACGATTCCTATAACTTCTATTACAAATTTTTTTCTGCAATGACACCTTTCTTTAAGTACATGTACATGTATGGCCGCATCTGAATGATATTGTATTTGGCTACAACTGGCAAAAACACACGAGCCGTCCGTAGGCTTTGGATTAATGGCTACAACCGTTTCTCATCTATGCATGCATTAATGTCAGTCGTAGTCTCGTTTTTCAGATGCGGCCGTGGTATTGTTACACTTCAAATATGGGAGACTGTGGATATAGGTTTCTCAGTGTACAAAACGGAGTCCTCATTCTCAGGATCAGAGTCAAAATCCTTGGTCAGTTCCTGGTATTCATAATCGCACCCTTTCTGTTTGGACATGCCACTGTAGTTCCAGGAGCAAAATCCCTGGCTGTAAGCCTGCAAGGCTAGAAAGAAAAGCAGGAATATTCCCAAGAGGACCACGCACATGAGCAGCATGCTCAGGAAAATCTTCTGGTCGTACGGCCGCACGGTTATACAGTACACGTCCCGCTTGATGTAGCTGTAGGGGCAGGTCAGGCACTGGGCCTCACTGGGCCCAAAGCATGTCTCGCAAGTGGAGTGGCACGGCTGGCAGGTGTGAACAATACTGGTGTTGTCAACCAGTCCGTCAGAGTGAGTGCGGACATCCGTGGACAAGAACTCCCCCTTGGGGCAGTTGTTGGGGCCGATGTGGTCCTCCAGCGGGTGCACCTCCGTGCCATACATCACCAATGTCCAGTGCTTGAGCGTACCTAGGCGCAAAGGAGAGCGGTGGTAAGCAACAGGCCGGCAGTGTGGAATAGTAGAGTCCAGAGTACAGGGGCTCCGGGGCCGCACTGGCCTGGGCACGCACCGGACTTTGCCTCAGGGCACGTCCAGCACGTGCTGGGCACGCAGTCCGCGCGCACACAGGTACCATACAGCCCCAGGCCCGGAGTGCCATGCACAGACAGACGGTAGGCAGAGGAGCAGTTAGAGGGACCATGGCGGGGGGCCAGTGGATCATGAGCAGTGCCGTATAGGACAAGCGAGCAGTTTACAACAGAACCTAGGCAAGAAGGAAATTATACAAATGTCCGAACCAGGCAAGCATGCAATCATCGTATTGCTCCCAGTGCATCAATGTCCAATCTTCTCTTTTTTTGTGTATAAATTTGAATGATTCTGCCAAAACTGTCAAAAGGAATTTATGCAGAAAGATTTGACATTGATGCACTTTTTGATTACTTTTGAGAAGCAAACAAAAACCTTTCAAATGCAGTATTCAGCACTTGACATTGGGGTTGACACCACAAAATCTTGTACTATATAATAAACATGTAAAGAAATGATAACACAAAGGAAATAAAACTAACTTTAGGAACTGAAAGACAAACTCTATTTCAAAGCCTCCAATATGTGAGCAAATTCCACAATGTATTCAAAGTTTGCAGAAGATGCATGGTAAGGAGTAACAAATAAATGTGGAAATTAAGAAAAAATATGAAAAAAAATAAAACTAACAATGAGACAATATTGGGAAAGACGTTTAGCAGGCAGTCCTAAAACTTTTTTTTTTTACTTAAGCAATTACCAGAAACCAAAATATCAAGGCTGCAGCCACCTGCTACTGGATGCAATAAAAGGATGCATTATCATATGACTTTTAAGGGTAAACTGATGTTTCAATCCTAGCAGAAGAAAACTTCTGGGATCCACCCATCCAGCATTCTAACTGTTGAGCCTAACTTATAAGATCAGAGCTGTACTGACACAGCAGGGGCCAACTCTTGCCAGGCCTGTACGGTATCTGCTCAGTAAAATCTGGTTACCAGCCTAAATATCTTTTGATTCTTCTTTGAGACTGGTTTCCCTTCTGATCAAATTGCTCAATGACACTCTCTGCTTATCAGCTCCAGTAAAAGTCACATCCAACATGCTCACCCATGAACTCCCCCGCTTGCTCAAATTGAGTAAGCCACAGGAATACTGCACTCACCACAGCATCCTAGCATTTTATACTCAAGTATTTTGGGGGTATTCATGCTCATGAAAACCTACCCATGCTCGTACACGAAGAGCAAAATTTCCATGTACTTGTACTCATGCAGTACTCATACTCCCTTACTTGCTCAAACTCAGGTAACCCATAGTGCACTCACCACTGTAGGATCTTTCCCCAGTGTTCTGGATGACTAGGGTCCAGGTCCCAGCCGGGCTTTCGCCCCAGGAGTGGACGCTCATGAAGTCCCAATCGGTGAACCCTTCTTTGGAGAAATCCCTGGGCCTGGCCGGTAGGAGGGTGGCCTCCGTGCCCAGTGGGGAGGTCAGCTTGATGGTCAGTGAGCCCCGACGGCTAAAGCTCAGCGTCAGGCGGGCGTGCACATGCTCCAGGTACTCCACATAGTTGGAGGTGCCACCACAGCCAGTCGTATTGAAGTGGATCACCAGCTTTCCTCTGGAAGGTATTTCCCTTGGAAGTGGAAGGAGAAAAAGGTTCAAGCACTAACGAACGACTGATTCAGCACACTCCATGCACCTCTTGTCAAAACAGGATTCTAACATACATGTTCTTCTTTGGTCGGTGTTTAGAAGATCTTAATTTGCCTCTGAAAAATGGAGACAACCATTACAACCTGAACATTCTTACAGTTGGTAAAGCTGAGGTACTCGAGAAAAGAACCACAATGATAACTTGAAGCGGCAGATCCTGCGGTCAAGTTAACTGCCTACCTTAACTAACCTCAGAGTACTGAGAACAACATCCAATTTTGGGAGCATTTTGATGGTTTTGTCAAAGAAAGGCCTGCCAATTTTCAAGTCTATGTCAAAGTAGACTTTACAGTGACTCCTTTGCCACACGTTACTTACTTGGGTAGAGGCAAGGCATTCTCAGTGCAAATATGCTGCTCAGGCACTCGGTTCCATGTCTTGGCCACAGTTACCATAGCATCAGCATCCATCAGACCGTAACCATAGGAATGGCTCACTGCGAAATGCAAGGAAACTTCTTTTACTCATGAGTACACCAAATCTTTGATCGTGCACAACAACTTTGGTGTGAATCAACTGCTTTCAATGACCTTTTCAGTGGAAAAAAAATCATTGGATGTATTGTGACTTTTTCCACGTACTCTGTAGAATGTTCTTGAGAGAGTTTTAGCTCTTAAAAAGGACTGCAGTTCTGAGCAAGGAAAGCATTTAATAGAAATATGACCTTCAAAACACAAACTAGGCTAAACAACTGGGAAGTTCGCTTTAAATAAATGACGCACACTGAAGTCCACTGTGTTTTATAAAGTGCCGGAAATACTTTAAGTTAAGCGCTTTAGCCCTTCGGATCTCAATACAACTATGCTTCTCACCCACAGAGTTTCGTAAGCACTTTCCAAATGAAACTTTTGACAGCTTGAGGTACCACCGGAAGCTAGTCTTTGGCAAAGAAGATATCATTAATGATCAACCAATCACATCACTTGGTACCTTTACGGCCGACACCATTGCTCATCCAGTCTGGTGCATTCAAGTGCTCCCATCTGGATGTCAAGACAATTATGTGCTGAAGATCTCTCCATGTCAGATGGGGACTGCAATGGAAACACAGCAGGAGAATGAAAATTAAGAAGGTCTTCAGTCTTGGAGAAAGGACAGCAAACTGATTGAAACAAAGCAGGTGTTGAATTTACTTCCTTCTAAAGGCCTGTACTGCATCTCAGCTAGCACTCTGTAAAATACAGGGTACCGGCTAAAAGACCATATTGCTGGTACCCTGATACCTCCATGCTGGTACTAAGAATAAAGTCAAGCTTGATTCAGGGGCGCAAAGCTTGCACTGTTGCCACAAACATCCCAACTCAGAACGTGATGGGGTCAACACTGCATATTTCTGAAATGTTGATCACCGACAGCATATTGGCAACGTCCCATCTGATTTCAATTAAATGACAGGAAATATTAAACCAGATATGTTTTTCTTACTTTGCTTGAAGTGCCAGAGCACATATGCCGGCAGCTAGCGGGGCCGAGGCCGAGGTGCCGCTGTGTTTATCGGTGCAGCCCAGATTCAGGTCAGTTGTTATCTGCCAAAGGGAACGGCCAACAATGTTTAACTCCTTCATGACTGAAGACTGCAAACGCCGCACCACTGTGTGAGGATTTATAGTGCATACCACACATACATGTACAGTCTATTCACCATGCAGCTGCTGGTTCAATGGGGCCTGCTGCTGGACAGAGCTTTGCATACTGGGCATACCACAGCCCAGCAGTTGCGGTCAAAAGAATCCCGCCACGAAAGGGTTAAGGGGTAGTACGTCACTCTTCCTACAGACAGCTCAAGTGTGGCATGAATAAAATCTGACCCAATAAACAAGTTTATGTACTGGTTTCACCACAGGGACCAATGAACTCTAGTTGGAGAATTCCTCAAGTGCATCACGTTATGTTTTCTTGTCATGTTAAGAAATCTCAATGGAAATACTATTCTTGAGCTGTGAATAAGCTGGATTCTTGTTGCCATTTTCTTTAACTGTTCCTCTTTATGTTGAGCAAACAAGGGAATAAAACTGCGACGGAGTGCTTTAAACCAATATGGAGGACCTGACACTTCGATCCTGGCAGAATCTTTCTCAAAGGCAAAATCCCAGCAGAATCTTTCTCAATATCCTTGCCTTTGAGAGAGATTCTGCTAGGATCAAAACGTCAGGCCCTCCATATTTTGAGATTTGTATATTACGTCACTGTAGTCAGCAAGCAATCTGCAGCAGTTTTGTATTATATCTTTAAACCAATATGATTAAAACAGGATAGGGGCCGGGGTTGATAATTGACTGCGCCTGCAATTTAACATTCGTCAAAACCAACCATGTGACAGGCTCTCATCAAATAGGAAATGGCAAACTTTAATCTGTGAATATTCTTTGCGTATATGTGGCATTATTTCAGGGACATTGAACCAATTTGAAATTGCCACCTTCTCCTCCTCATATCACGCCAACTTACAACTTCCTGTTCACCGCTACTGCCACTGCTGTAGGTGGTGGCTATCGTGGATGCACAGGGTTCCGAGTACCAGGGAATGTTGCCCCTCTCCGATACGCTGCTAACCGAGATGGTGTAGATGGAATTGGTGTAGCCATCGCAACTGCAGCTGTCCTTGGACCGGCCGCCATTGCCCGAAGCCCAGATGAAGATGGAACCCAGACCACCACGGCCCTGTGGCAAATGGGAACAGAACGCAGTATGTTTAACACTGAGCAAACGATGGACCAGTGGGAGATCCTGTGGCTGGATTTAGAATGGATTCTACAAATTCATCTCTTTTAGTCATGCGCTGAAGTTTTAAGGCCCAAGTTCATGATTCTGTTTCTCATGGAATTCTGCAAACACAATATATTATTACCAGTACACTCATGTGCCTAGTGTTAGCAGGGAAATTGGAAATATGACATTTCATTACATTGAATACAAGAAGCACTTTGAACTCTTTTTTCTAAATGCTGTCTACATTTTTGGTACAGCTACAATTTGTATGTACGTGTACATCTATGCTTTACTCCCCAGAGTATGCCTGTTACTTTGTCAGCTTTAAGTCACATTGAAGAGTAACTTGCATCTGTGCACATCTTTTCGAATACGCCTGATCAAAAGCAAAGCAGAACATGGGGTTCCTCCCACATGCGGTCAGTATTTTGCTGACACATACATTACTTTTCTCACATTGGGAAAATACAGAACAAGAAAGGATGGTTTTCTGTGGACTGTCACGTCACACTGAGACCCACTTGCACTTGAAATAGCATGGTGTTGAATATCTTCAGTGCCAATGAAAACCTAATCATCCATGACTGCATCATGACAAACAACAAGTGCTATTGTCAAAAGGAACATACAAGACTTATAATGTTCTTAGTTCTTCCTTGTGCTTGTGTCAAGATCATTTGCCAAATGTGTGTCTGGGTGTCCTTTGGATACCATGTAAGCTATTTTGGATGGCCAATAATGTTTATGTTTAAGCACCGTTAAACTTCCATCAGGTCGGACGATCTGACTTTTACGTACAGTGCATTACATATAACCATGTTTCCAAATGCTCCTAAAATATGGTTCTCAAGTCATCATGAGGTCAAGAAAGCAGACATAATAGGCAGTAATGGAACTGGTTTTGTGGTTGTGCTGAGTGATGACCTTATATATGTGGCACTTTAGAAGAGACATCATCAGCATGATCATGTCACGTTATGAAAAGCTTGTAGCAGGGCAAAGAGCACAGTCATCTGGTCCAAGCTGGAAACATGAAATCATTTCCTACATGTATGTATTGAGCACATATCATATGAAGTACATACATGTACATATACACTACAACCTGTCTCATAATATAAATATGTTTTTGCCCGGATTATGGAGCAAGGAAAAATGGAATCCCCAGCCGTTTAGGAGAACCATAAGACGGGGGAGGGGAAGAACAGAAACATAACAGGAAGCACTGCTCTTAAAATATCGTCTATGGTTCTTTCATCTGCATTCATCTGTGCAGACGGCCTCTTTGTGGAATTCATTCCAGCCAACTTCTGCTGGGGAATTACCCATGAAGCATGCAGGCAGGACCGTGATAATGCATGCAAATGGATACAATCTAATAGTGACGGTGTGAAATCTATCAGTGCGTGCTGGGATTACTAACACAATTGGACTACTGTGCAGCGAATGTGCCGCTAGATTTCCTGCGCAGGGGAGGATTTTAAAGGGTCCCAGGATGCATGTCTCCAGCATTAAGATTAAACAGAGATGTTACTGTTCAAAATTAGAGGGTACATGCATGTCGCCTGGACAGGGTTTGGACTCAAGATCACTGATTCATGGGTTTGAATCCATCTGCTGGTAATAAACCGCAGCCTTGGGCAAGCCACTTGACTCCTGTTTGCTTCTCTCCATCCAGGAGTATTTTTCAATGAGTTCTGGCTTCAGCTGCGGAGCAACTTTGGACAGACTGGTATCTCACTGGGGGGAATTCTCTGTCATTTCATGCCAAGGAAACTGGATGTGCCTTGTAAATACTGGCCTGATGAACATACTGGTAATTAGTTTGGGACCATGAGTGGTCATTAGGCATGGGGTCCGTAATTACAGTGGGACACCGCTAGACCGAACACCGCTATACCAAACACCGCTATACTGAACATTTGGCTGTATCGAACATTGTCCTTGGCTCCCAATATTTTGTTCACAAAACCTACCGAACACAATGCAGTCGCCGTCTGTAATTCCCTAACGTCAACTTCATAAAACCAGTCGTTTTTTTTATGTTGAAGAGTGACAATTGGCCATTATTTCCCCAAGGATTAGAAGGGAAAGTCACTAGTTGTTGGAGGGTTAATTGTAATCAACTAGCTGAGAAACTGGGTACATTGGTCCGCACTTGTTCAAAGTCGTCTTCTAGTGACGGCCAGGGCACACACTGTCAATCTGCTAACAGTATTGACTGGACGCTGGTTTTGCGACTCCCAGTGATTGGGTGAGGAAGAAAGCCGCATGCGCACCGCTGCGGCATTGCACTAACATTAGTCTAAAGAGGGCGCTGCTGATACACAAGCCACCGAGATTTGCCCCAGCTTGCATCAGAGATCGATCCTGAGCAGAAGCTTCACGACTTTTAGGATAAACCTGAAATCACGTTTGTAACTTAAGAATTAAAAGAAACCAAAATAATGAACAGGTACAATGCAACAGCAAAACATCACAAAAACAGTGAACCATAGTATCACGAGAGAATGCACTTCAGTTAGACAAGAGAGGACGTTATTCAACATGGCAACAAAATGTTCGGCAGTGAATTCCGCTATACCGAACGACCGTTATACCGAACATTTAGCGTGGACCTGGCGTGTTTGTTATAGCAGCGTTCCACTGTACCTTGGTGATCCCTTCGCAGAATGCCGTTTTAGCCAAGGGGCCGGGGCCGTCCACAGTCTTGCCGTCATCATCTGGGCCCCAGCTGGCACTGTAGATATCCACGTGGTCCGGCCGGTGACTTAATGATCTGGCCTCTACCGCGTCAGTCACGTCGCCGTCCAGCATACGGACTCCTGCAGCAGCAGATGAGAATGCATGTATATTAGTTATGCACAACTATAATAAAGCTTCTACTGTTATTGTACATGCATGCAAACATATAATAGGTAGTCTGGAACCACGACCAATGGTAAGAGAGAGCCAAGAGTGGTACCTGCAGCTGTCTATGAAAACCTTATACATATCGGTACGTGTACACACATACGTACACATACATGTACTTGCAACTAGGTAACTTTGTTTGGAAACACAAAGACAAATGACACAAATTTACAGAGATGTATCCTTTATCAATCTATTCATACTGATACATAATTACACATTAACCTGGAAACAGATGAGAATCATTAAGTTACTTCATGTTGCACAATTCTATCTAACACAAGGCATAAAGCTAATTGCTAACGTGTGTATACAATGTTAAAGATATTTATTTATGACTCTATCTGTTGAGTTCATACTGCTGTAGCATGTTGGGGCGCAACAATTTTTACGGAATCCCTTTCACCAATTTCAGACCAGTTTTGTGTCTAGAGCTCTAAGACATGGATAAACTTTTCAACCAGAAACCTTTTCATCAAGCTCTGCTTTCTTCTGGTTAATTTTGCGATGTTATTGGGTATACAAAGCCCTCAAGGTGATGGTGGGTTTTTGTTTGGGGTACACTTGCTGAACAGACTATGCTCCAGGAACTGTCATGGTATTAAAAACACCTGTCAACTTCTGTTTTCCCAGTGAAGCCCTTGACAGCCAAACATTCACGTGATGAACGACACTGGTGACCCAATGTTGTCTTTGCAACCTGATCCAATGTTGTTTCCCATCCTCAGACATTACATGCGACACATGCATGACCCTGCAGTGACTCTGCACATGCCGCTCCAGGCCCTCTACATAAAGCTAGGTATTTCGGCCAATGGTCTACGAGATCTGCTTCAAGCAGAAAGATGAGCCAGCACATAAACAATGCACAAAGTACATCTGCATTAAGTCAGCATGGCATGCCTATGCAGTTTATGGACGCCCAACATATGGAACCCATCACCAAGCAGAATCACGCGATAAAAACTTAAAGATCATTCACTACAAGTGTGGGTACATGCACATGTATTTGTGACTGATGACAGGGCTCAAAGTAAGGTGAATTGTAATAACATTAACATGAATTTTACTTCAACAAGCAAATCTAGGTACTCGAACCCCTCTGTGGTACATGTACATACATATATTGGTCCCCTGCATATAAACCTATCCACTTTCAGTGTCCAAATCAGAGTTACGAAAGGAGCGTACAGTATGTTAACACAGGCACCAGGGTATAACTTTATCAGCAGCACTGCAGCATTTTTTCTTTCCTCCAATAGCAATGAACTACACTCATCCTTTTCCGACGACATCAAGATCCAGCAATTTCGTATCATCAGCAGTCACGGGTGAACCCTACGGAACCTTGCTGCCGGCATTCAACAGACTAGCCAAGTAATTCGGTTTTAATTGCCACCCTCGGAGTCATGTGGCCGACCGCCACAGCAGCCCATCCTGGAGGAACCTGATTGCTTTATCGCTTCTTCCGACCTTTACCGCACACGGCAATCGATACCCCCTTTCCCTCTGGTAAATGCAGGATGTAGCAGGGGATAAATAGCGGTAGAGTGCGTACTCGGGATTCAGCGCAGGGTGTCAATTGATTTCCAGACAACCAATGGGGGGGGGGGAATGGTAGCAGAGAGCCGCTCTCCGAAAAACATCCCAATAACATTGTGCTGTTTGTGCAACCCAGTTACAGGCTGGATATCATACGGTGACTGCTGATGGGACAGCTACATCAACAAGTTGGGAATTTCCCAGATGACTTTGCTTCTGCGTGTGGGGGAAGGCAAGGGATTTGTGCCCAACATTATCGCATGTTGAACGTTTCGGACCCAAGTCTGTTTTAGGAGTCATGAACTTCATGAAATAGTCCAAAACATTTAAGGGTGAGTGACTCAAAACAGGTGGACCACTAATTCGAAGAGGTACGGCATTTTGAAAAGAACAGGTTTTTATGTGCTATGCATATATAACAATTTGGCATATACAGTGTATCTGGGTCACCCTATTAAACTGAACAGGCACTGTACACCTATCATCTAAACATACATGCACCTGTACTTTGCAGGAGAGAGTGAGTGATAGGATTAGTCACTCCCAAATTCCAAGGGGAGTGTGCAGTGTACTCAGTCACACAGAAGTTACCTGCTAATTTGAATACACCAGGCTGTTCAGGTGAATAATTCATCATTATTCCTCAGTGTTGACGGGGAAGACTTTGGGAAGCAAGTGCCCCCTCATAACGTGTCCCCTCCCTAAAACACCTGCTGACCAGCATTACAGTCCCCTGCTGGGATTCCAAACCTCAATCACTAAACCTCAGATCCACTAATTCTAATCTGATTCCCTTGATCACTTAATCAGATATATGTACAAGTCAATACAATATGACCACTGCCCTTCCTTCAATGAGTATTTCTGGCCATTCATCCCTATGCATACATGTACATGTTATTCCGCAGTCAGGTAAGATGTATTGAGACTGTACAGCTTTTAAGCAGAACAGGTGCACAACTTGTGGAAATAACTATGAAATTGTTTTTCCTCCATGTTGCTGGAAGTTGACAGTATGGTTTGATTACAGGTCATTAATGTACATTAAAGTTCACAATGTAATCTGGAGTTGTCAGAATACTTGCATAAAGTAAACAAACTGCTGAATGCTCTCATTAAACATGGGGTGTTTCCATGCAACAATGGAAATTGGCCATATTGTTTTTCTTATTCAAACACAAAAGAAGTTTCTTTTTTCAAAAGATAATAGTGGGAGTATATGTAACAGTAATTCCAGAAAATAGGGGTTCTTTGTGTGTGTGTGTGTGTGTGTCTCTGTCACATCTGACATATGATTTTGTAAATTCAGAACACATTTTCAAATTTTCAAGAGTGATGAATTAATGCAAATTACCTGCCAAACAAATAGTAATAGTTTGAAATCAATTCCGGTGATATTTCCATGTCTAACAATAAAGGTTTGATGTAACAGGGACATGAATATGTCAAACTTTTCGACCCCTAATTTCTGGAATTACCAACAACAATTACATTATATTTCTTTTTTCATTTACTGAACAAACAAGCTTTGTTGACGTATTATGGATAAAATGTGATTGGAATTTCACGATCAATTCCCACCTTTGCATGGAATTACAACATTTTGTTGTTGGCAGCAATACAAAAGAAATTTTTTAAATGTTTTCACCCAGTTCTTCAAATGTGTGCCATGGTGTTTGAATTTGCAATATTACACCTCAGAGGAAGTCCCATGATTATGCATACATATAGACATGTATGTACTGAAGCACAACATCACACAATATTTGGAACTACATGTACATGTACATGCACATGTACTACACATGAATGTGGCATGTGGCCAAGTGGTTAGGGTTTGTGGCTTCCAATCATAGGGTTGGAGGTTCGAATCCAGCAGCTGGCAGTATGTTGTGGCCCTAGGCAAGCCACTTCACCCCTGCTTGCCTCTTTCCACCCAGGAGCATAAATGGGTACCACCATTAGCCGGGGAAGCAACCTGTGATGGACTGGCATCCCATCCAGGGGGAATAGAAATATTCTCAGTCCTTTCATGCCAAGGAAACCGGAGATAAACACCGGCCTGATGAGTCAAACTGGCTTGGACCAGACTTGCTTTTTACACATGAATGACTGCATTTGAAATACAGTAAGCACACTACACACATAGCTTGGCAAGTTGTGGAAGTGAATGATTGAGATCTCATGCATAATCCCATTAAATTTGTGGGTAACTGGTGAAAGGCTTAATTTCTCAGTTTGGTGAATTCTGTATTAAAGGGCCCAGGAGAATTCTACCTGAACATATTGTTGTATTCTTAACCTCAATTTAGGTGCAGTTGGGAAGTTTCACACTACTTGAGCACAGTGAGAAATGAACTTAAATGTATGACAGAAATAAGTAATGACCTTAATTGACACCAAACGAAACTAACAAGTGTTACACTCAGATAAGGTTCGTGGATGAAACAAAGTGTCTGGCATGCTGTTAACTTAGACGGCAGTACAGAAGTGCTCAGGAGCAGGAAAGTTTCCTTGAACAGGTTTCCCACAGAAAATCTGAAAACAAATTCAAGGACTTTCCATTTAATGCCATTCACAGAGAAAGGTTTGGTATTATAAACTCAAAGAATTCCATGTCCACAACTCCAGACTGACAAGGATATACATGTACAGTACTGCGCAGCCAGCAAATTTCTCACTATTCTCTAATCAATTCAAAAATACAGTTGTGTACACCATCAACGTCGCCCTAAGATAATCTCGATTTCCGGAAACCCATATCTTCTCCAATTTTCCATGATTTTGCCACGACTTTCAATATTATAATCATCTACACTGTGAGTGGATGACAATATGCACTTCTGCAGACAGATGCCCCGGCCCTCTACATGTAACAGCAAGATCCACAAAGCAGGCTTTTTCTGATACCTGATTTATGGAATGCCCTGAGGTGAGGGAGCCCTGTACAGGAATGTCATTCTACTGCTGCATGAAATAAATATGGGTGCCTATAGAAACAGATCCAAGTGCAGCTAACGGCTCCCCTCCCCCCCTTTCCTGTCGTTCCTTTCGGCAGTACAGGGGTCGTGGAACACCAGGTACCCAGGCAGTGGAATTATGTATTACTAATACTGTTGTCAAATTGTAAGGAATGTCAAATAATTTAACCAAGCCTGAATAACTGACCACCAGCATCTGTTCCTCAGTACTCTGTATTACATGTATTTTAAGGGGTCATCATTTATGGCAGAACACGTACAACCCTGACACAATTATCAGTCCATGAACTTGCTTTGTGCTGTACGTGTATATGCAACTATAAACTCTAACACAGGCATACATAAACCCCTTCTTTCCAAGTTTTTGAAGAGGGCAATTGGGCCACAGGCGCACCCCTCATTTTTGAATGGAACAAAGGAAGACCCAACTGTGCCATCCTCCCTTCATCAGACATGCTGTAGCACAGTTTGTGCAGGTTACTTTCTTGACAATTGATTTTGCCGATGTCATCATCATCCTTCCTTCTGGACTTTATGAATTCCATGTGCTTAGCGGGATATACGGATATTCTAAACTTGGTACAGTTTCCAAACCTCCATGACAGCTCCTGCCCCACACCAGTCTGAGGTCTGACCTACATGTATTGGAACTTTCTATGTGATAACATTTGAACTTGGTCTAGTCATCGATTATTAACAAGCCTTTTGTGAGTTAACGTTGACCCAAATCTGGTACACTGAGTTCTTTAAATTCACGTGAACCTAACAATTTGAATTCTCCATACCAAAATCACTGTTACTATACCTCGTGATTCGGGGCAAGCTTTTGCTTATAAATAAAAGACGGCTTGCAACAATACACTGTTCTCAATCGATAAGAGGGGCACAAAGGAACCAGTCCATTCCAGAGATGATGGTCGCTGAGCGAAAGCTTGCCCCGAATCACGAGGTATAGCAACAGTGTCTATAGTCTGGATAATTCAAATGTTATGTTAATGTGCAATGAGATAACTCAGTGTACCAGATTTTATTCAAATTCAACTCGCAAATGGCTTCTTTGGCAATTGCAGATCACCAACTAGACCATGCAGCCATGATGAGACAATGTCCGCATCTGAAAAACAATTAGTAGGGTCCAAGTCATTAGGATAGCACTGTCACCAAGGCAGAGAAATAGAAAGATGCACATGCACTTGCACATCAACATGGGCACTTAAAATCATGACAGAAATCAAGATGACAGGAAATATGGCAAAGTACCAGTGAACTGACTCTTGATTTCATTGGTTCACGTTGATAGGATGCTCACATCAAGTGTTATATGATAACGGATGACAGCAGAATGCTCTCAGGGCCTCCATACATGTACCTGCCTGAAGGAACTTACACCTCCATGTGCAAACCTTTAAGTAGGCGTGGCTTCACAACAAGTGAAAGATTATGTGGGTACTTAAAAGTGAACCGTTTGCCTTTACTGAGTACATAAGCTGAGGAACTCTGATAAGGACTTGACACCCAGTGAATGATCGCTACAATTAGCCACAGATTTTTTTTAAAATTCACACATCGTAGGCACAAGGCTAGGAGTCTCTCTGGCTGCACAAAGTGCCGACCAAGCAGGTCATGACAGCTCATTAGTCTTTGATAATTGGCAAACACAGGAGCAATTTGAGGGGAAAAACATGGCACACATCTGCCGGTATCCACTAATGGCATGAAAGCCTATTTCCTGGATATAAAGTCCTTGTTTTTTGGAGGGAGGGATTTACTCGTACATCAAGATTGATGTTTAGCACTGGAAAGGGCCGATGTCTATGTATGCCAACTACTGGGAAACCACCCTGCACGCACATAAAGAACAAACTGCTTTTTTTTTCTCTGAAACTCCACCCTGCTACTAACTATATTAAGGCCTTTTCACACTGCAGAGCGAATCCCCGGGGAATAAATGCCTACGAAAATCCGGGAGATTTTTATCCCACCAAATCCCCAGCAACCATTCACACTAGACCCATTTGATAACTCCCACGGACACTTTCCCCCCCCCATATGCAAGGTCATTTCACATCCGGGGAAATGTGTCCATGAATGCCAACTAAACCACCATGCAAACACCTAAAGAACATATTGCACTATTTTTTCTCTGAATCTCCACCCTGATACTATATTAAGATGGACGCACTTTCCCCAAAATGTTTTAGTTACACAATGTACCGGTAGTTATGCTTTCCACTAAAAACAATTTTCCTCATCTTGGACAAGTTGCTGTATAAAGACTCCGTGATACAGAACATCTGGACAAACAGGTATTATACTTATATGGTATGTACAAGTACTTTGCAGAAAAACCCATAAAACTAAAGGTTACCCAACACAACTACAATGTGGAGTACGCCAAGTGTGCCCATTGGCTCAAACATGTCAAATGGAAATAAACCATACAAGGTGAAATCTGAGACCCACAAGCCTTCAATATTAATGACGATAATTTTCTGAGCGACAAATGAACATGAGGAAATGATAGAAAAGATTCCCCAAACTAGACACTGGGAAAAAATTCTCACCAACGATCCGTCGACAAACAAGCTCACGAACCACAAACGGCTTCATGCGTGCATGAGCAAAGGTAAAGATGCAACCGCCTGGCAATGACGTGAAGATACTGATGAATCAATGAGGCATGAAACATGAATAAAGCAAGACAATACCTCAGAGGAGCTGTCGTGACATGAGGCAACACCTCACTCAAATAAAAGCAGGAGCATCCTTACCCAGTCACGACTTGTAGCCTTTTCTATTCCCTTTTCACCATTCCAAGTATAATTTGGTCGGCACGGACATGCATGGTGCCCACGTCTGCAACGACCCTTCAGGGCACGACAAGAGTCTCCATGAATGAAAACAGTCGTGACCACAGCTAATTCCACTTAAGTGCACAGCCAAGACCATAGCATTCATACAAAACTCCAGACACCACACATGTGAGCTTTTCAAAATTCCTCTCATCAATCTGCCAAGTTACTCGGAAAGGGTGACAAATTGTTTTCACTAAAGAGGAAAAATACATTTTCCTGAATCAGACGACAGGTGCTTGCAGGTACTTCAGAAAGTTTTGGAACAGTTTGAGACAATGTTCAATGCTTTGCAAATATCTGGAACATTCCTTTTTCCCATTTTTAATACGTCTAACATGCATGAAGCCCACGTGGCTGCAAAGCTTGGAACAGCAGGATTAAATTCCTCTCTGCATGAACATTTACATACACATTGTACATACCCAGTACCCAAAACCCTGCAGGACACTGATAAGCTCACTTCAGTTTGGCCTGCATTTTGGGAGACCCTCCTCTTTGTCCAGCACGACAAAAAAAGGAGGGCCTTGTAAAAAGGGCAACAGTTGACAAACTAACAAAACCACTGAGCTAAGGACAATTGAGTGTACACAACATTGTAATATAACCGTTTCCAAGAGTCTGTGTAACAATTTGTTTGTATCTGCGAAACGTGCAGGATATGGTTTGCATATTTACCAGCGTAAGGTCAAATGTGTACATGGGCACTGAGTGAGACCTTTGGGCTTTGCTGATCATTTATACAAACTATACTGTAGGTTGTCAAAAACAGCCGAGACAATCAAGCAAGCAAGTGGTTATGGAGATCTGTGATGTGTCACAGCAGGGTAAAAATTTCGTTCATATTCCACTGAGAAACTTTTGAAAAATCAACATGCATGTACAGTACTTTGCTGTATACAGCAAATTTCAAGTACACTACTTTTTATGAAACGGTTGGCCAACACCCCCCCTCCACAAAACATTCTTACTGAATACAATTTACTTTGATAAATGCAAAGATTAATGTAATGATATTTACAATCTGACAAATTTCCCCAAAGATGTTTCAACAGTTTGACTCATTTGCCAAATCGGCAAAGAAAGCACTTAAAATAGCACGATTCTAGGAAGACCAACCCAGGTGAACGGAAGTGTATTAACAATAATACACACTAAAACTTAGAAAAAAAAAACCAGAAAAATCCTTTCAGTTTTGGTCTGGGCTTGTTTGATCAATATTGGTGTTGCCTCCATTTCTCAACAAGAACGTTATCAAGATATCTACAAGGCAACAACTGTTTATTTAAAATACAACAACATCACTATCTACACCACATTCTCTGTACATGTACATTACACACACTGTCAATTCACTCACCACCAATTCTTGCATTGTAGGCAATGCCTACACTACATATACTGTTATTGGCCAGAGCAGCTACTTCTCCTGCACATCTTGTACCATGCCTGTGAAAAAAAAAACCAAGACAGAAATGACGGGAAAAGTAATACATACATGTTACGGCCATGTCTGAAAAGAGCATTCAATGGATATGGCTTTGCTGTTTGCCAATGACACGCTACAGTGACAAGCCATAGCCATACTCAACTATGCCCACTTCGGATACAGCATGCAACTTAGAAAGGGACTGGGTATACTTGAACTGAAAGATACCTCCATATTGAGCATGCTTGACAATATCTTCATACTGTAATTTATACGCATGACAGGGCCTTCATCCAGGATTTTTTTCTTGAAGGATACTTGTAAATGTATACTCGTGAATGTTGAAGCTTTGCTTTATCAATAAATTTACTGGTACAGCATTTGAAATTTACACTAACAAAGAGCAAAGCTGTGCTATGGTAGAATATACATGTAACGTTCATGTATGAGGACGAGCTGAAGGTATACATGCAAATCAAGCTTGTTCGTGACCCAGTACTTGACAATTTATACAATGGCTGCATGTACATTGGAAGTTTGTCTTTTCCTTTTTCAACTGAAGTTGTGCATGCATTGATCCCATGGCAAAGGGGATTGTTTACACCATTGTGTTCCGAGAGGTTTCAGTGCAGCACAGCGGTGATTCTGCCCAACACCTTTTAATTACCTCATATCTGCCAAATGGCCCTACATTGTGAAACTACAGTGAAGGTAGAATAAACAAACGTTTTTGTGAAAATGCATCCAATGGTCTTGAATTATGTAATATTAAGTATGAATTTTGCACATTTACTTAAATACATATTTTTGATAATGATCTAAACATGCAAACATGGGAGTTGTTCGCTGAAATATGATAGACATGTCATACATGTAGGCGAGATAGGACTATGGATAAAAACTGAAGATACTGATTTTTGAAAAAAAACCCGCAAACCCATCATGGAGGTATCGTCAATTACTTTAACCCTAACAGTCCCAAATCCTCCAATTTCAATACAATTTTACAGATGCCCTTGGGGTTAGGGTTAAGTTAGTATGTTAAAGTATCTTTTAGTATATTTATAAGTTAGTATCAAAACTTTTCAAGGTATGAGTAAGTGAGGTGAAGAGATGAAAGAACTGCTTTGATGCATGATGGTGGTAATCCCAATGGATGATGAGAATGAATTCATGTGTAGTAGGAATAGCAGTTTGGAAACTTTTCTAACGCAAAATTGTTACCCCCGAAAAAACCAGCAAATATTGCCTTGACACTACTAGTGCACGTAGGCAAAACACAATAACACAAACAAGCCTTAAGTTCCCAGTTCAAAACATCTGTTCCAAAAAGACAAAAACATTCATTTGCCTATTAGCACTGAGATCATTTCGTATAAATGAAACTTAAAACCCAACAGAACACAAACCTTGTTTTTCAGTTCCAATTCAAATTAAATGTTTTTCTAGTGCAATTTTGGAGAAAAAAAGAAAAGAAATATAAACATGTACCTACATCTATGCACGGCACACTACAACGCACAGTAAGAACTGCATGCAGTCAACCCACATTATGCAAATATGCAGCTCATTCCAAGATCAACTTTGCATGCACTCAGGGCAGTCTGAAACCTTATCCTCGCCTCTCCCTACTTCTCAACCTGCCAGCCAAAATTACCCCTGCAAGACTTCCTTCATTTTCCGGCGTAACATCTGTCACTCTAATCCCTTCAACCTTTCAAATGAACGTCATTTTCATTTTTCTTTACCTTCCGCATACGGCAGTACGCTGAGCCGTCTCCAGCAATTTTTTTCCACTTTAAAAATTTACTCAAGAAAAAAAATAAAGTTAGCCTAATGTTGAAAGATGAGTCTGTTCCACTAGACTCTGAGAATCACTGAGAAATAAAAATCATCTCTTCCCCATGGGCCAAAGAAACTCACATTTCATGCTGCAGCTGATCTGACAGCAACGTGATCGACTTCACCGGGACACCGCTTTCTAATAGTAATAAAAAGCGTGGACAAACAACAAGAGATTTCGCCCAAAGGGTCCTCACAAAATTACAAGAGTGCTTCCTCTGACTAGACCACAACTAAATTTGCATTTATGGCTCTACCTGGAGGGTTTTTGGAATACCTCAGCAGCAATATTGTAGAGGCTACTCAAGGGCATAGTTTCTGCGGCATTCAATTTTTGCTTTTTCAAAGACGCATTATTCCCACTCGAACAAAGTACCCTCGTTCCAATCTAAAGCGTCTGAGGACTGGATTCAAATATAACACCAAAACAACAAAAATCTAACAAGTTCTCGGACAAAAACAGAGTATACAATGTTTATGCATATACACCGATGTAAGGGCACAGGTCAAGTCCTTCTTATTTGGGTTTGCCCTTTGCCAACATAAATTATAAAAGTCCTAACTAATTTTCTGCTCAACCATCTGCACAGTATTTTAGTATTTCTACAAGCAAATGACGTACATGTACACGTATGTGTGCATCCTGAATTCCTGGTTAAAAAAAAAAACAGAGATCAGTAAACTTTAACACTGATGTAAATTCCCTGAAAAAAACCCAAAAACTTCTACATGTCTGAATTCAAAAAAGCTGCAAAAATTCATTTGAATTTTAACAAAAACAAACATCACTCTAACAGGGCAAATCCACATGAATTCCAAACCTGGTATCACCATTCAAATACTGCTCTGGGGAGGGTTTGAACCCGGGTTTAAAAAGAAACACAGCTGAGAAAGGCTGCCAAAGTACAAGCTGACTGACTGACACTGGGCCACCCAAGGGGGGAGACTGCGGTAGCGAGCAGGCAGTCCGAGCCACATGTTGGGAGCCATCACAACTTTCCTACATCAACAATGCATGAGGATGTTCTACAGACACCCAACTGGGGCCACTGTACCTTTGTGCATTTTCTACACCCCGAGAGGTGTAAACATCAAGAGGATGAAACTTAGGTTGGAAAACAAAATTGAACCTCACAAATTTCAGCGAGAAAGGTACTTTGTCATCTTCAGCAGCAGATTCAGTGTGCGCACTTTAAAATCTGTTTAATGCTAATAGGATCAACGAACTAATGTACATGCATACATGTACAAGCGTAAGTTCTAAAGGTACATGTTTTTTTCACTTATTTTCCAAAGACAGAAAAGCTTAAATTGGATGAAAAAGCTGGAAAATTATAAACCATGTCATAATTATAAACAGCTGGGTTTTTTTTAAGCTTCATTAATTGAAATTAATGCTGAAATGCCTGTGAGTTTCATGCGTTGCAATCATATTGTTTCCTTCCATTTCTTGGTGACTTGTAAAATCTGTGATGTTCAACTGAAAGGCACTTTTGTAAGGCACTGTCACCAGATATGCTGTATGCATGCATATACCAACACGTTTAGAGGTCACAGTAATCTATGCAAAATAAATTTTCTGTCGCGACAGCAGGATTTCTTTACTTCCAATCAACTAAAATGTCAACTTGATATCCTGCAAGTGGGCGTTTAATTACTACATAGGAGGATCTGTATGTACATGTAACACTACCAACACAAAGCACCTCACGAATTCGGGCGTCATCGCTTCAAAATTTAATTAAAATCTGTTTGTTAGCTAAAGAGCTGAAGACAAAGGTATCGGACGGCATCTGGACTAGAAATTGAACACACGGTTAAAAACATTCCTCCACAATTATGTTTGGAGAGCCTGGGGCTTAATAATAAAATGAGTGTTATATGCAATTGGGCACTGTAATGGAATCATTCTTTTGGTATAAGTGAAAATGACTTCCTTGAGCCTCATTTTGCAATGGGACGTCGGACAGACACTGACGCAGTCCAACATGTTTATATTACTATGGGGGGAAACCAAAAATATCTGTACTTCTTTTTCTGTTACTGTCTTCGTATAAAAGGACTTGTATCTTTTCATTTTTTTTCTATTTCATGAAAGCTCTCTGTAAATTAAAGAAACCAGGTAGTCAGAGGGATCCTTGTTTCACTGTGTGGGCGTTATCACAGAACGGTGGTAAAAAATGCTTTCCTCTCTCAAGAACCAAGACTGAATCAGATGCCGTTAATCGGACACTGATCTGAATAAGTGGAAATTTGAGCTGGCTGGAATAATCTGTTTGCCAGAGAGATGAAAGCATGACATTTCTAACCTTGTCTTTGGAAAGATGGAAACAAAGTGGGAGGGGGGGACGACAGGCAGAATCTTGACCACTTGAACTGGGACAACAGTAGGAGTTGTGTGGGTGAGGCAACTTAGGATTTAAGACTTACCCAACCTTTTGACATCAAGAATCGAAAGCAGCTGAGCCAATGCAAAAGAACTACTTTAGTAAAAGGGTGTGTTTTGACTGTTCCTAGCCTGATTGATGGGCGATTCTGCACAGATAGGCTACTTAGGAAGATTGAAATGGCTCAGGATTAACGTTTGAAGCAATTTGGGGGAAAAGGTCAAGCTTCATGGGAAAAACACATTTAAATATAATGTATACATGTACATGCACACTACCACTAATGACTGGAATTAATAACAAGGTAATTAAAACATCTCTATATTTTTGCCAAATATAACAAGGCATATAATGAGGCTGAAAGGAGCTGGATTTACACGGGAAATTCCTCTAAAAAACAATATGTACCGGTATGTCTGCATGCACTGATGATATCAACACTGAAAAGGAGGCCAATCTAATACTCGGGAAATCTGAATGAGATTTGGCTATCTGGTCCAGAGCCCTTTTGAAACTAGAGCCAGGTGATGTAAGCAAAAGGAGCTAAATGCTCCTGTTGTTTCTTTCTTTACCATTTCACTTTTGCTTCTACCTGAATTGGTGGCATACCTGTATGACGCACCACTTTTGAAAATATACGATAAAAATCCCCACTTTTCAATTCAGGCCCGTCAGGAGAGCATTTGTGGTATTTTTGTTTCTCAATTCTGCTTTCTGCTACATGTAGTTTGGGTTTGTTACAAATGAATGACCTAATGGGGCTAGTTTTAAAGAGCAATAGTAGAACTAAATGCAAGTAGCTTCATATTAATTCATTTACAATTCTGGGCTTACTTTCTTTTATGTATGCATGCACCAACACACAAACATGATGAAAGTTCTGTCTACACTTTCAAGCTTATTCTTAGGGTCAGTTCTTAAAAGGCTCCACCAAAGCTAAACTCTGAAAAGATGCCCTTTCCCAATATTTAAAAGCATACAGAAAAAACTAATTAGTAATAGCATGTTTCCAACGACCTTCCACCATGAGATGTGTGAATCATGGAAATGCACAATTGGCCTAAAACCAGTAACTATAAAAACTTCTCTTTGTGCATGGGTCACGTATGGGTCTTGCTCAATTATAAAGCATCACAAAAAAATCCCTCCTCCCCCACAAAGCAGGTTCAAATGAATAAAACCATAAATCATTACGTTAAAAATAAACCAGTGAAGGAACACATGTAGTAAATACACGCATGTCGGTGAAAGTGAAGTTTTGAATATGATTCTGAGGATTTCCAAAGGAAGGACAACCAGTGGTTGATGTTAAGCCGAAAAGGTTTTCCAATAAAAACTGGACTAGGGAAATCCTGATTCTGATGTCAGTTCCCAACGTTCCTGAATCCTTCCTACAAGAGGGAATACCCCACACATTCAATTTAATTTGCCCTTGAAAAAAAAAATCTTTTGGAATTTCATTTCAGGTAAATCGAAAGAGAGGAAATCTTCTAGCCATATGTGCGTAGATCGTTGAATGAAGTGCCCTCCTCCTACACAGTATGTACTTCACTTGTTCACTTCCTATGCGCCGAAGGGCAATGCCTCTGACTTCAAACTCACAATACACAGTTGCATGCAGAAACTCACTCACACAGTAAAAAACCTCTTGTGGTAATATTCTGTGTTGGATATTATTTGACGGGCGAAAGTTTTGATGCCTTTATGACAAGCTCCTCCTCCGACATGGTGCGTGGGAGTGCAATGAACAAATAGACTTCGCGAAGGGAAAACACTGAACATGTACCGGGTAGGTGACACATCAGACCAAAGTAGTCACTTCTTTCAAGGTTCAACAGCACAGAACAACTCTGAATGACCAGTTCCTTTAAAAACCTGAGAGTAAATTAGGATTTGGAATTTTAAAGTGAGTTTCCAAAGCCAGTGCTGACCAAAATACATTGTGACGGTCGGTATTATAAAAACTGTTGAAGTTTTTACAGATCAATCCATCTTGACGTCAAAATCTGCTCAAATAGCACTAGATTCTTTGCATGCTGTGCATGGCTGGTTTTCTTTTTGTTTTCTTTTTTTTCTTTTTGGAGACACTAGCACTTTTTTCTTGTTCCTTAATCATGCAACCAAAATCTGCCATTCAAAAAGAGAAACTAACAATGAAAAAAAAACCACATCAATCATATCTATCATGGAAATAGCCTTAGAGGTTGTAGCAACCAGTCAAGTATGCTCATTTGCAAATAACCCACTTGCGAGTTAAATTTGAATAAAATCTGGTACACTGTATTATCTGATTGCATAGAAACATAATTTGAATTCCCCAGACTAAAGACACTGTTGCTACATGTATACCTCTTGATCTGGGGCAAGCTTTTGCATAGTGACCACCATCTCTGGAATGGACTGGTTCCTTTGTGCCCTCCTTACCCATTGAAAACAGTGCATTATTGCAAGGCATCTCTTATGTAACTAAGCAAAAGCTTACCCCGAGGGGTAAGCTTAATCACGAGGTATAGCAACAGTGGTTTTAGTATGGAGAATTCAAGTTGTTATGTTCACGTGAAGTTTAAGAGCTCAGCGTACCAGATTTTATTCAAATTTAACTCGCAAATGGCTTACATGTAGTACCATCCACAAGACCTCTCCCTAAAATAAACTTGGACTTGTTTTTAACCTGGATATATATGTAGTCACAAACACTGTTTTCTCCACTGAACCTCCTCAACACACTTCAAGGGACTCTTATACCAGTGCAAGAAGCTATCCAAATATTATTTCAGTTAAAAAATATTATACATTGGTGAAGGGCCAAGAACTCCCGGTACAAAAAAAAAAAAAACATTCCTGATGCAAAAACCACATCGTTTGTATGTTTGGCTTAGTAACGATGCTCATCTGACCCAAGCCAGCCAGCCAGCCCAGGCAAGCTCGGTGATTGAGTGATAAGACATCTGCCATAGTAGGTAGGAGGTCATGGGCTTGATCCCCATCCAAGCTAAGTTTTTTTTATTTTTTCCAAGCCCTCATGACAACACTGAACATACATGTATAATGTCATAAATATACGTCAATGAAGGGTAAAATCCCCAAACACAAAGCATCTCGACACCAAAATAATAAAATAAAAAACACCTTTAAAATAACTAACTGAATAACTAAAGATAAATAAATAACACCATAAAACTATGTTCTACAAAGTTCCAACCTGTTTATGTTAGATGGTGAGTAGCGAGGCTGTGGATCCTCGTCGTTATCATTTAGATCCCAACTGCCCGGTGCATCCTTTATATTGTTAGCATTGTGACAAGGATTGCAATGGTTGAAATAGGAAAGAATGAACGGCAAGTTGTGAGCAGGTGGTTAAAAGTTGAATGATTTTGAAATTAGTTGAGGCTGAAAATTTAGTTAATTCCAGTGAAACTGACAACAGTACTCAGGCACCAATCCACTAGATTCCGATTCTTGTACAAGTCCATGTCTGTCTTCATTCCAAAAAACTCTAGGGATTTATAAATGGTTGGTACAAGGCAGGTTTGTTCCACACCAACAAATTTATCGATGTGACACGTACAAGTGTTGTACCTATGTACCGGCATCGAGGCAACACAGCATGTGTACTGCGTTGTAAGTTTACACAAATTCTGCTTGAAAAAAATGTCCTAACATGTTACACTGCTGTAAGTTCTGCAAATTTGTCAAGTTACTGAAATTGAATGAGAATCAAAGTTTATGCATTTTATTTTCTCTTATCCAACATTGCTGTTTTGTATTCGTACACGTACGTGTACAACATTAGCATCACCTAAAAATATTGTGAAAAAGCTCAGTCAAATCTATCTATACGATTGGCTCTAGAGCAAAGGCGTCAGTTTCACTGTGACTTACACTGTACCTTCTGGCCAAGGTATTTTCCAAACAGAAGCGTGAACACATACATGTACATACTACTGGGCACAGTAGGTAAATGTGCCAAATGTATCTATTTCACGTATACGGTATGCAAAATTGCTGATTTCGGAATTAAACTCGAAACTCAAAAAGTATGAAACATGACCTTTACTTCCAGTCTTGAAGACAAGAAAACTCAAAACGATGAGTTACATGTACATGTATGTGTGAAATAAAAACACAAAATGCATGCAAGCAGGCGCAGCTGAATGAAATCCTTTTCTTTGCACACATCACATTTACAGGTTTGCCGGAATCTTTGAAAACCTACATGTACAGGTACCCAGTAGGTGTAACTGGTGACATTTGAATTTTAACAGAACCAGGCACTAGGGTGTGTGAAACACTGTATGGTACCTGTACTTCCTATTAGGTATATGAACATGTACCGGTACATGTAGGCTGAATGTCGGTACCTTACCGTTTGAAGTGTCTACATACACAGCTACCCGTGTAATGACACCGTCAGCAACTCAGCGATGTTTATTATCTACTTTCTAGAATGTAATGTCCTTTATCCATTTTTAATGAAAGGTGAACTGACAACCTCTGTCTTGGAACAATCACGGTATTCATTAGGGCCTGATGTACCATAGGTCATAGAGTTGGTAATGGTACATGTACATAAGTTTGCGCAGTTGGACTTGAGTACTGTGACACACAGCTACAGCAAACTACAATGCCATTGGAATCCAAAACTGCTTTGCTTAGGTGACCTACTATTTGCTCTGATACACTCCAATCACGTTGAACTTCAGTACACTGTAAAAGGACTGCGTGCAAATGAAAAGGTTTGACTGAATTCAATCAGCACGGCATGCAGAAGCTGAAATGGGAGCATGGCACAGGAAAGAAAATGAAGTCTGAGTGCAAAAGGACGAGGCCGCAGATCATGCACTAATGCCCCCCCATCTTAACCCAGCTCGATTTTTGGCCGCACCTGCTGGTCCAATTGTGGACCATGTGGAGGTAATGATGGATACCGGGTACCGTACAACCCCACCGCTTAATCTTCCCTGAAAAAAACCACAACTTGTTGATGCCAAACAAGTTGGCGGTGGGAACATCAATCCTGCGAAATATTTTTTTTTCTGCAGGAAATGGACTGCTGTGCAGAGAGGAATTTTCACAAACGCCTAGGCATCTGCTTCTCATGTCACACACAAATGTTTGGTAAGCTTCTGAGGCAGCTAAAATCTTGAGTAATATATTTAGCAGCTAGGGGTATGCTTGGAAAAACTGTCTGTGCGTTTTGCGAAGAGCCCCTCAATATGAATGAAACCTTTTCTTTGAAAGGAATCATCAAGAATATTCTGAACTTTTTTGGACATTTTCCTCATTCATCACAAGCAACTCTTTTAATGCTTGCCTGTGAAATGAAAACAGAAATAAAAAAGAGAACAGCCCCCAGTTTAAACCTCTGCAAAAATCAATATTCACACTACATGTTTGTGTTAACATCAGAGTTTACCAATAAATGAATGTGCTGGGCCAACCCATGCAGTTTTGGGGGGTCAGGAATTCCTGCCCCGGTCCATCAACCTGCACAATGAATGCATGAACAGGGTTCAAGCCCAAGTCGAGATGGGTCAATGTGGGTGAGAATGGGGTCCCTGTACATGTACACACACACACACACAACACCTGTTTTCGTTGGTGAAATCATATCTGGGCTGGGGGTCGTCGTCTCGGCTATTCACATCATAACTGGCAACTGGATCCTGATATATTAAATAAAACATCACAATAAAACAACAACATGCAAACCACTGATGACCATAGATTTTGCAGACATTGCAAGTGAAAGAATCACACCAAGTACGGCTGTATAAGAATGCAAGCATTTACAAGAGAACACTTTTTTACAGGTACATGCAATGGCCATCATGACCGCATATACATTACATGTAAATGCCTGTGGCATGTAATACAATGGTTATCAATGCATTTTTGGAACATTACACCTCTGACCACAAGTCATCTGGTCTCAAGTCAAGTCATACTCAAAACTGAACCATCACAAACACACATGTACATGTAGGCCTATACATGTGTAATATTTTCACTGTCCACTGTTACTACTTTCCAATACTTGTGCCCTGGCTTGTCAATGTCACACAACTTGTGACTGACTTGTGGTTGACTCATTATGATGTCCCTTTTGTATTCTATAGTTCTCATATATTTTTGACCTCAGGAGGTGACCAGTTGGTTTAAAAAAAAATTTAAATGGTGAGTATTAACAGCATGAATTATCGACTTACATGTAAGTCTACTTTAAAGCAAAAAGGTACCGTACTACCATATATGAATGGGAATAAAAGTGTGATGAAGCAGTTTAAACAAATAAATTTCAAACAGCAAGGGGGCCTGGCACCAATAATGGACTTTCAGTATTGTTCCCAGGCCCTATCCGGATTGAAATCTACATGTACTAGTTTAAAACTTCTCCAAAACAATTACACATGTATTCCCTTAATCATAATACATGTACATGTACATGTATTAAAGACTGACTACTATGATTAGTCCACAGGACTTCGTGAGGGTGGTTTTATCAGATAATAAAACACGCCTAGAAAGTTTTTTCAACTATTTTGAACATGCATTCATGGGGGGGGGCCAATGGAGCACCACATGTGCAAGCAAAACCACTAGAATTAAAGTTTTCTGATCCTTTCTACCATAAATATATTTATTATAGAGGAAAATGTACACATATGTGTACATGTACAGCATTTAGAAACAGGACTAAATGGTGAAAGGTTGGTTTAATATAATCAAGTACCCGTACGACGTCATGCATTAATACTGGCCAGAGATTTGGAGCCAACATCGCCAAGCCCCAGATGCAGTTTTTTAACGTACCTGTACTATCGGTACCAGGTACTTTAAAACCAGCTCATTGCACTTTGCTCTGTCCCTCCCTCCCTCCTCCCCAAAGAATTGGGAAGAGTGTCTTCTCCTTTTAAGTTTTCTAAAGGGTTGGCAGTTCCAAACAAGGTTTCTCATTTTGCCAACAATACAGGTGCATGTGGGGTCAGTTGGGGATGAGAACTATAGAATTAAAAAGAGGCACCGTACACAAACGTGTCAGCTCTATTGAGTGAGCATAAAGACTAAATGCCATTTACTGCAGGAAATGGCATTTTTGTAATTTTTGGTAAACCAGGCACATTCACAAGCACTACATCAAACACTCGCACCTGTACCAAAACAAACAAAATCCAAAGAAACTGCTACTTTGAGCCAACACATTTTCTAATACAACATTGAACAATGTGACTTGTAGGCACAAACGGGTAAACGTACAAGTATGTGTATAGCGCATAAACAAAGAAAAAAGTACGAAACCTTCCAAACAATTTACACATGGAAGTGAGCACCCTTATGCCGACATCAAGATTGCACAATGTAAAATATCAACATGTCAACACATACATGTACCTGTAGATAACCAATTATTGAACATTTTACAGGTAAGTCCACAAAAAAAGCCCCCTTTTTGTCCCACATGTAATACCATGTTTTCTTTTTAAATTACTCAGTCATCACTCAAACACTTGGACACTCAATCAGGAAAAAACTCGCGTGGGTATTTTCCATCCAGACACCCAACAAGAGAATAAAGAACACTGAAATCCAGAAATGTCTTTGAAGGTGGAACTTCCAATGCATGTAAGGTTGGTGCAAAGCAGGCATGACATTGAGGACTTGCCCTATAGGGAATTTTAAACCAACTCCCATCTGCGACTTGGGAGAAATTGGAATAAAGCAACTGGAAAACCTGAAAGCAAAATAGGCTCTAAGCACGGCTTAAATAACATGTAACTTGCAAAACTTTTACATGTTAAAGACCTTGAATGCCATTCTGTCGACAGACATATTACCGAACTGAAGTCATGCTACTTAAAAAAAATCAGTTTGACTGGATATTGCAACTGATGTCCCAGATGATTGTTTTATCCACTGTTTACAGCAAGAGGGTTCATGTTAATGTGAACCACATCTTCAGCTGCACCAGACTGAAAGGAGGAAATACAAACAGTTTCTGACATCATTATCGATGGAAGTTATAACACCCATTCTTGGGTTCATGTACCAGTATACTGTTCACATGCCTTAGGCATTACCAGGCAAAATGTACTGAACGTCCAGGAAACCACACCAATTTCCAATTCTCTGAAATGTTTGCTTTTTGGAATTCTTTCTCTTTGCAGATGGGTAGTCCATCATCAAATTCCCCAAGTACTGGTGACGTGCTTCAGGGTAAAAAGAAAAGCTGTAAGGATTTTTTAAAAATCTGTTGGAAGGTTTGACTCGTATGCCATTTGCTAAAGTTTGCAGTTAATGCCATGACATCATCTACTGTACTTACGTAGTTGGCACTCAGATCTGGATGGTTTTTCTCGATTCCATCATCCAAAATGGACACCACAACACCAGTGCCTGTGTAGTCTTTTTTCCAGGCTGGAATTACATTCATATCAAGGCCTGGCTCTCTTTGCTGGGTTTAGAAAAAAGTAAAAACAGCAGAAAAAATGAATGGTTTGGTAATGTACATGTGCTTGTAGAGGTGGTAAAATGCAGTATATCATTTTCAGATATGTACTATTTTTAATAGTATTTCAATCTTCCAACTTTTCCTTTTTTTGACCTGCAAGTACTGGTTGGTTCATGCTTCCCGACGATGTAAAAAGGCAAAAAAAATTTCAAACATGCACGGTATTACAAGGCATTTACTGTGAAATTCACCAAAATTGAATTGTGTTCAACATTTGCAAATCTGCAGCCTGAAAATGTGCCATCAGTGTCACAGTCAAAATCTAGAGACCCCTTCTGACCACATACACCCTACACATACCCCCCGTACATGTAACAAGACCATTACAAGACCAACACATGATGTCCAGTCTGAAGTCAGGTCACAAACTATTCCAATCAGCTGCAACAAGAGCATTCCTTTGTCAAAGTTCACCCCTGAACTTGTAAAGTCTTGTGTATGGTCTACTGAACAGCCTGGTACCAATATTTTGTCTGGGTTTTTTTTTTTCTGGATTCCTTCTGCATTCCGTTGTTCACAACAATGATATCATTTAATAAACAAATGCCATGAAACATATGCATTGCCCCTGAGTAGCACTGAGGGGGGATTGAGGATAGAAAGGGAGGGATGCAGGTTAGCAAAATAACTTCCCCTCACCAGATACCACAGCGGCCACTTTGGATCGTTGAGCTGAGAACTGGCAGGAGTGGTACTGTCTCTCTTCATCCTGCTCTTGGCTACCTGCTGCTCCACCCAATGCACCTGCAGTGATGGTACACCAATATAAGGTAATGGAAGGTTGGCAGGGAGATTTCCAAATCATGTCTTCAATGGCTGGCAAATGTATTCAATGCATCAATCAATACAGAGGCTAGGGTTTTTGATATTGACAAGCGCACACAACTTCACATGTGACTTCCTTGAACTCTTCCCCAAACTGTTAACAGTACATGTACATTTATTTTGAGATGGGGGCCAATGTGTACTTCTGGGACATCACAATTATCATGACCATTTAAAACTGCACCAGTTTCACTTTCCCATTTAATTTTCATATGTATTTGTCAGTTAATATGTGTTGATTACATTAAATTCATTTACATTAAAAAAAGTTGATTTACACAATAATTACAAAGGAAAAACCTCATCGTTTCTCACTATTTTTTCGGTATTTAGTGTGACATTTTGGATGACCTGTTTCATATGACTATTCATACCATTGGCAAAACAAATAAATTGTTTATTTTCTAACTAACCTATCAACAGAAAGGTAAATCATGATATCAGATAAATCTCCAAATGAAATTCATTCTAATTGAGAATGCAGATGCTATCATAATCTGATATAACAATGTAACATTTCGTTCCTCCAGTTGTTACGAAGTTAAAATCATTTTTGGCTTCTATTCATCAATTTTGATGTCATTCTAATTGAGAATACAGGTGCCGTCATAATCTGATATAACAATGTTAAATTTCGTTCCTCCAGTTGTTACGAAGTTAAAATATTTTTTGGCTTCTATTCATCAATTTTGATGTCATTCTAATTGAGAATACAGGTGCCGTCATAATCTGATATAACAATGTAACATTTCGTTCCTCCAGTTGTTATGAAGTTAAAATCATTTTTTGCTGTTAAAAACAAACAAAAAGCTGTTGCAAATCATTTTCAAAACCTAAAATATCAACTCTGAGTAACCCCCCCCCAAAATACCTCCTACTAACCTGAGATCCCAAACATTTCTGAAGATATCCCTGTCAATTCTCGTCAAAAAATATTTTGGTTACTCGCAAAATCGTTAATTTGTAAACAAAAACGTTCGTGCAACTTCCAACGTTCACCCGAGTCGGGATCATATTGCAAGCCAGCATGCGCTGTCATGTGTTTGTCACCTGACACAAACATGCCAAGTTCCTGCCATTCTTTCAACGTCGAGAAATTTCGATCAAAGTTTTTGTTACTCACACGTTAGGCTGTGACAAAAAGTTACGGGTTGCAGGTTTCTCCTCAAGACATGAAGGTAAAATTTACCCGAAACTGAACGTATTTGCCAAAAAGAGGAGCACGATAGCCACTTAAAACAGCGTATGGAAGAAAGGAAACATTTTTCCCCTTCGAATCGGAGACACTTGTCGTCGTCGCCATTTTTCATTTTGCGAGTTTACCTATATGCTAATGTCCGTTAACAATGTCATGACATGCTGGCCTAGCAGTCCATTAACAGTGTGCTGTGTCAAGTCGGTACACGTGTGCCGGCGACTATCTTGTGAGCGGCGGAACGTTCGGTGGCAGTGACCACATGGAAACAGTGCAATGCACATTACGCCTCTCAGGAAACAGTCACCGGCGCGCGTGCGCCACGCCGGCCGACTCAGCATGCTGGTGCTATTTTGTGAATGGTCCGCTAGGCCGGCGCGCTGTGACGTCATCAACATACATGTACATTAGCATACAGCTCAAATCACAAAATTGGACGTGGGGATTTTGTTGAACTTTTTGGCATAAATGCTTCGTGACATCAAACTTTCTTTGCATTCCACTTGAATACAAATGTGAACCGGCATCTAAGTACATGTATCTCTGCAACTTTCTTTGACATTTTCTTCATTATCAAGTAAAGACAGCAGTTATGTTTTTAACTTTCAAGTAGGCCAGTGGGTGCGTGACAAGTTTTTATGGGCCTACCCCTTCAGTCATGACAGTCCAACCTCGTTAATAACAGCATTTTAAGTACAAGATTCTCCTTTAACAAGAATTCTTTTTATGCCCCAATCCTTCGTGTTTCTACATTTTCATTATAAAAGGCTTCTTTTTTTATTCACAAATGTTGAACCCACAACAATATGGGCAATGTTTGGTGACAGTAATAATGCTTTATGACATCAAAATTGATGAATAGAAGCCAAAAATTATTTTAACTTCGTAACAACTGGAGGAACGAAATTTAACATTGTTATATCAGATTATGACGGCACCTGTATTCTCAATTAGAATGAATTTCATTTGGAGATTTATCTGATATCATGATTTACCTTTCTGTTGATAGGTTAGTTAGAAAATAAACAATTTATTTGTTTTGCCAGTGGTAGGAATATGTCATGTGAAACAGGTCATCCAAAATGTCACACTAAATACTGAAAAAATAGTGAGAAACGATGAGGTTTTTCCTTTGTAATTATTGTGTAAATCAACTTTTTTTAATGTAAATGAATTTAATGTAATCAACACATACATGTATTAATCGACAAATATATGAAAATTAAATGGGAAAGTGAAACTGGTCTTGTTTTAAATGGTCACGATAATTGTGATATCCCTGAAATACATATTTGCCCCCAATATTAAAATAAAGACCCACATACATGTACATGCACTGGTACATGTACATGTACCGGTATGTTTTGATGAAGCAGAGAAAAGGGTCACTGGAGACGCTGTTTTTTAAATGGAACATACATGTACATACCGGTACATACGAATACAAGAAAATGACAACAGGGCACAAACGATTTAAGTCTCAAGTCCACTCATACAAAAATGAGAAAAAGCATGTCACAAAGATGCTGTCAAGAATTACAGCACATGTACATGTACTGGTATGCGTCTCACTTTAACATACATGTGCCAGTATGGATCTGATCTACAATGTACATGTTTTATGTGCCGGTACCGGTACGTATTGGTAAATCTGCACGTCATGCCCATTCCATGTTCATGTACAGCAAAAACATACAAGTTTCATACATGTACGGTACTGATGGTACTTGTGCATGAACAATTTTGTACATGAAAATGTACACGTACATGTACAGTACATGCTCTTGTACACTGCATGTACTAGTATAGGTACATGTACATGCCTATTCCCAACATGGGAGAAATTGGTTCAATTTCCTTGGATGGGGAGAACTGATTTTGGTAACGAAATTCAACTGCTTTTGCCAACCTAATTACTGTACACGTACAATGTATCTGAGGTGGTGACTGAGGTGGATGTACAGTACATGTACACTGTGCTATTGAGAACCTGACCATCTGACCATCTGGTCTGACCATGGTCTCACATGTGACAACATGCACTTTGTGGTTGGCAAACACATATGCAGCAAGGTATGAGACGGAGAGAACCCCCCCCCTGCTTTGTGTTGGTCATTGTCTCACAGGAATCGGGGGAATTCCTTTCAGACATCTTGGGGGGGGGATGTGTTAAGTAACAATAGTCTGGAATGTGTATAGGGATTGGACATGTTGGGGGGGTACCCCTTGGTCTCATTTCTTGCTGGGTATATATGTTTCAGTTCCCCAATGTCACTTTAAGACATGTACTTGTGAGAGTGAATTTAAAAAAGCTGGAGTAAAACCCAGACATAAAGGAATTGATCGGCATTGTTGGTCCAACTTTTACATACATGTCCAAGATGTATGTAGATGTCTTGGACAATACGTGTACATAACTGAATTACATTTATCTCCCCAAATTTGGAAACTTCCAAATGCAGTCCGTGGTCCCATCTATCTGTACTTTTAACAGATATAATTTCTTAAAACGGTGGAAATTTTATGAAATGTATATTCATCTAAACATGTACATGTACATGTATGGTATGCAATAGTGACATATTGTGTTATGTACATGTACATTTGTGCATAACATATGTAAACATGTGCATGTACATGTAGAAAGAGGCAATATTAAACCATTCAAATGTATCTACATGTACATGCATTGTACATTTTATACCCTGTACACAGACACACACATGTACAATGTACATGTACTGTTCTTCATCAAGGACAGCTGTTCCGGTATATGAACTTGGAAGAGGTGGAGTGAAATACGACCATATGGGGGTTTTCCTTATTTTTTTTTAGCAAGAATACCATGGTATAAAAATTCCATATGGTATTTGCTGGTAATTTCGTATTTATGGATCGCCAGTCAGTATTTTTCAGTACTGAAAAACTACCGCCCTAAAAACTTAAATACCATCAAAGCCTAAGTGCATAGCAAGGCCTTCATCAAGCATGTAAGGTTTACTGTAAATGTCCCTTGCTCTGTGTACTTACATGTTCTTCTTTTTTAAGGTGCAGATGTCTTTCCTTGTTTGAGGACAGCGATCTTTTCTCAATGGCGTGATGATCCAGAAAATGATAATGGTTATCAACGATCTGTGGGGAAAAAAAAGATTAAAAAATCTTAAGACTTTCTTTAGTTTGAGGAAAATGCACAGTGCACTGTTTGTCATGGTTTATATCAGACAGACTGAAGGTTTCTTCACAAATTTCTCTCAATTTAGATGGGTTCAGGACTTTACAGAGCTTTGAGTATGATCAATAAAAACAGGTCATACAACTATTAATTAACTACATGTACATGTACATGAGTCTGCATGTTTACGAAAGCTAAGAAAGCAATCTGAACTGCATTTCAGAAATGAAGACACAAGTGAAAATAGCGATGGGGGGGTTGTGAGAGGAAGGACTTCAGAGTGACTGCCTGAGATAGTACTAGTGCTGCAGCCGAACTGAACCAAAAATCATTGAACATGGCACTTTCGACTCGAACTGAACCGAAAGGGTCAGTTCAGATATGGCTTTAATATTGCATGGCATTACTAGCGCACAGAATGCATGCAAGAAAAAAAAGCAAACATGACGAACAATGGATAACGAGTTATGCCGCCCCAGCGTGTGTTAGCGCATGTGCATCACGAAGGTACTATAAATGTACACTGTACATGTAAGTACTTATGGTGGCCCTGCATTACGCAATGGTTGTAAAAAGCACGTGGTGAGAATTCACTAATAATCAACCGAGAACATGCAACATACGACATTTCCGCTGCACACAATTCTAAATTCTCACTACATCCAATTGTGCTTATAAATATTCAGATTTACATTATCCCTAACCCCCTAGGCTTCTGCACTAGAAAGCGTACTGAACCTCAC